CTCTCTCCGGCTAATAGTCCCTTGGATGGACCACATGCTGCGGAGGGGCCATCGGAGCCTGCACACTGCCAGGAAGGTGGGTGACATTGCAGGAAGACCCCATCCCCCAGTGTAGCAGCTCCCATGATGAGGGGACCTGCCAGATGAATCCAAGGGCGTTACACGCACCCAGATGCCACTGCCTTGTGTTCGGCAGCCGTTGCTTCACCTGCATCCGGGAGAGGAGAGGGCTTCCAGGCACTGAGCATCCCTGAAAACCACCTCCAAAGAGCCAAGGGGAGAGCAGAGCTGGATGGAAGGGGAAACCCTGGAGCTCTTCCACCCTGGCAGCTCCACCTCCATCACCAGGTGGGAGTGTTGTACTCTGGAGAGCCCCTGGCCAACCGGAGGCGGAGAACAGCCCAGCAGTTTATTTCTCCTTCAGATCCCCGGTACTGCTGCCAGGAATAAATGCATAAGGATTATCCTTCCCTGTCAGGAAGAGGGGGAGAGAGAGGACTCGGCAAGAGATTGAAGCGCATATGGCGCATGAATGAGCGGGGGACGGCTGATGGAGGTGGCCTTCTGCCAGGGGCGCGCGGGGTTTGGGGGGGCGTTCTCAGCTTCCCGAAGGCATTCGCTTCTGGCGAAGACCAGGAAGAGCCTTCCTCGGTGTTTCTGGAACATCTGACAAAGAGAGATGGCAGACTGGGGCTGGTTGGGGTTTTTTCTAGCACAGCCTTTCCATACAAACATACGGAATGACCCTGAGGAGGCCTCCCAAAAACAGAGGGGAAAAGCATTAGGATATTCCGGCTGCACACAATTCCTCCCCTGCTCCGGCGCCCGTTCCTGCAGGAGCGGTATCCATTTCAGGCTGATCCCTTTCCTTCGCTCGTCTTTCTCCTGCGCCGACAGCTCGGATGCACAGATGGACAAAGCGTTCCCAGAGCATATCAGACAAGAACCCCCTCCCCGAAAATGCTTCCTCCCAGACGTGCCAGCTCTGCGGAGGACGGGGCGCAGGAAGGATCCTGCCAGAGGGGAAAGGAGGCCACACTGGGGATGGGATGGGATTTGCTACCAAATGACTTTGTCACCATGTGCCAAAAAAAGAATAAAAAGGAGACGGGGGGATGCTGTTACTGCCAATAGCCACTTTCACCTGCTTCCCCACTCCGCAGAGCGTTTTTGTGGGGAGGAAGAATCGTAAAATTCATTTGGAGGGAAGAAAAAGCAACCGAGCAGCCAACAGTAAAAATCCCATTTCCTTACGGAAGGACAGCTCGGTTTGAACAGCATGGAGCACGTGCTGCTCCCATCAGCTCCAACAGCAGCACTGAGGAACGCCCGGCCGTGGATCGGCAGAGCTGTCCGTCCTCCCAGCACGCATCCCGCTCTGGAAGCCCCGCTCCAGAGTGGGCAACAACCAGGGTTTGCCTCTCCTTCCTCAGTGTGGGTTAAAACCACGGCCCAGCATCCAGCCTCCCAGGCATGAGAGGACACCACTGCCAGCCCCAAGCTTCCGCGGAGAGGAAGGGCTGGCTTCACCCAGCTCCCACCAACCTGGGAAGAGGAACCTCGGTGGTTTCCATTGCTCCAGATGTTCCCCTGGCCCCTGCATGCCAGCACACACAGGGCTGGTCCCTCACCCCCACAGCACAGCTGCCTCTGTCCCCTCGGCTCCCTCTCCCTAAGCACTCCAATACCTCTGCAGGTAAAAAGCAAGACACAAAACACGTCCTTTGCACTAATTAAACCGTATTGTTTGAAAACTAACCCAGAATATCCTGCTCTGACTTGCAGGAAAGGATGGTATCTGGTATGGGAAAATAAGGATCTGATGGGGAGGAAGATCAACTGCACGACCATCCTCGAGGAGCACTGGCCCCACCCGGCAGCCCAAGGAGAGGTTTTGCTCCATTCCTGAATTCCTGCCGCGCACCCTGCAGGAGAGGTTGCTCCTCCCAGGCAGTTTGGGATTAGCAGCCGTCAGAGGGTTTAGAAACTGGCCCCAAGCAAAGAGAAGAAACAAGCGGCGAGGGAGAGGAGGGAGAAGAGATTTGCTTTAGAAAGTGAAAGCCTTTAAGTCTGTGGGTTTTTTCACAGACGTCCCCCAAGGTTTTGTCATATTAATCTCTTAATGGGTTTATGGTAATTGTACACATGGCAGCGTGGAGCGGGCAATCCTGCTGGGGCACCGATCACATTCAAATCCCTGGCTCATCACAGCCCTGACCGGAGCTGGCTCAGATGCTGCTCACGGCTGCAGAGCTCCAAAGACCTGGAGAAGGGGGTGGCAGGCACAGGAGGGCTGTTAGGGCATTGCAGCCACATTTTCAACAGCCCGGTCCCGCAACAGCGGCAGCAATGGCACTGGGGAGGGACAAGAGCTGGAAAGGGAAAAGACCTTGTGTGGAGGACTCAGGCATCCCAGGCTTCCTGCTCTGCCATGACAGCTTGCATGTCTACCAGCAAGTCACCAAGGGCAGGTTTTTCTCCCTTTAAGGTACTCTGACATGCAAAAGAGCCCACAGGCTGGGTTTCCAAAGCTCCTTCGTCTTGCAACTCCCAGCCCCAGACCACTGGCGCAGTGGCAGCGGCCCCGTGTCACGGCAGGATAGCACAGATGCAGTCCATGCTGGTGGCACTGCCACTGCCACTTCCCCTTCGCAGCCTTGCACGGGGCGTGAGGCAGCACGCAGAGGTGAAGACACATGCTCCCCTCAGCCCACAGCCTCCTACCTGCTTCTTCTTCAGCTTGGAGATCTGCTGCTCCACCATGGTGATCTCGCGGTCCACGCGGTCCATGTTCTGGATGAGCTCCTCCTTAGAGAGCCGGGCCGGCAGCAGGTCCAGCTCGGCATCGGGGTGGGCAGGGCTCACGGGCGACACAGGCTCCAGTTTGCCAGGCAGGCCACGATCCTGGGGAGCACAAAACAACCAGGTCACCTCCTTCCCAGGAGACTGGATCCTCCTCCCATCCTCCCACGCCAGCTGCCACAGCTCCCTGGCCCGTTCCCAGCTCTCAGGCACACACCCCCCTCAAAAATCCTGCTCAGCTAAGCAGCACCAGCTGCCAGATCACATCAACACAGCACTCCACGACCCCTGGCAGCTCCGGAGAGCCCCAGGTTAGCCTCGTGGGGACACGACAGCAGCTTGTCCTCCTGCCAAAGCCTCAGAGGCTCCACCACCTTCAGTGCTACCTGCATCCCGACAGGATCGATAAACCCATCCATATTCAGGAGCTCCCAGCAGCATCGTCCCATCACATCTCCGCAGCCAGCCCAAGGTTACATCTTCTCCCCAGAAGCAAGGTAGTCATAGCTGTGTCCTCCTCCAGCACAGCCAAGGGGGAGAGGAGAGTGGCATTACCCACGCTGAATAAGAAGGGGCTACAAGGGCAGCCCCCAGCAGAGAGGGGATCCACACCTCCTCCATGGAGCTCCTCCTCCACCCCTTGGTAAATTCTAGGGGAGTTCTGAGCTTCGGGAGTCAAACCAGTGATGGAGAAAAGGGGACAGGCGAGGCCAGCGGAGACCAAACTGATGAAGATCTGCCTTCTGCAAAGCTTCCAGGTAAAGAAGCTCTGGGGTCAACAAGACCCTTCAAACGAGAGACCAGAGAGATGAGTGTAACCGTCATCATGGGGAGCAGCTCTAACTACCACGAGCTGGGGGCAGAAGGAAAACCCATCAAAACATTCTGCTTCACCTCCAGCAACGCAACAAAACTTGGCTGAGCCCGACGAGCCAGGATCCCAGGAACATCCCAGAGCCAGGCCACCTCACCTGCACATACCCCCCTTCCTCTCTCCAGCCCCAAACGAAGGAGCCCATCTCCCGCAAGCAGAAGGCGCCTGCCTGGGTGAGTGTGCCCACTGGTGAACACGCCCGGGATGAAGGAGCTGAAATGGGCAGGCAGACGGGATCACGGCACGCCAACAGCCCACCCTGGCCTGGGATGCTACCCAATGCCTTAATTAAAAGTGTATCCGTAATTAAGTGTCCTCCGGTGAGTGGAGGGAGCAGGAAAGGAGCCGCAGCCAGGCCGCCAGCACACTGCAGCTGCTGGGGAGGGAGGGAGGGGAGCGCACAACTCTCCCGCCTTCACGACTCCCTGCGCCCACAGACAAAGCCGACCTTGTTCTGCACCAACTGCTGCTGAGCGTATTCCCCCCGGCCTGACTCAGGGACAAGGGCGAGCGGCTGGGGGTACCCAGTGACCCTCCTGCAAGGACAAGGGTGATGGGATGGGGTGCAGCAACACAGACCCCTCTGAGCTCGGCCACACAAGGTGATGGGTGCAGATGCCCCCTTGGCACTGCATGCCATCCCTCATCCCCCGCCCCGCTGCTGGTGAGGTCCTGGGGAGGCAGAGCCGCAGGGAAGTGGTTCCAGAGGCAATCCCTGCCTGGTAGGGTGCACTGAGATGAGCTCTGCCCTATCCC